GCACTCACTGAGATATGTGTACTGTAAACTGTTATCTAGTTGTAGTGTAGAGTTATCAATGAAATCTATGTGCACTTACCAAGATGTGTGTACTGCAAACTGTTATCAAGTTGCAGCGTATAATTATCAATGACGTTCAAGACAGTAAATATCTCCGTATGGAAAGGCTCATAGTCTGTTGGTGCTATGACAATTTCATCTCCAACTTTCCAGTCCACTGCATCTTCCATTGTTATTATATCATCACCAACATTAGCAGTAGCAGCTAAATGAGTCCAGTAGATATTAGGTTCTTTTCCATGAAGATCTAAGTCACCAAAGACACCTGTAAATTGATAAAGGAATGGATTTATGTAAACACTTACATTCTGCAGCAATTGTTACAATAAATGTTGTAACAAAGATGCAAAAGTTGAATTGCTCTTCCATAATGCTCAGTAACATACTCAGTAGATGCAAAACATGAATTGCTCTTCCACAATGCACTGTCAACTGCCTTAAAACATTACCTATAACTTTGGATCCCAAGTTAGGTCCACTGGGCAAAACTATGTCTGGAGTCAGGTGGTTTCCTTGTAAGAGAAATCTGAAATTATGCTCAAATGGTGCATCTTCCCAACCAACAACTAAACGTCCACCGCGGATGAAAACGTAAGTAGCGTTTATCATGTTGTTCATAGTGTCGTCAATCTCTAAGGTACCATAGATGAACAGCTTATTCATATAGGGCAGTTTTACATCAGCAACAATCCAAGTATCTGAGAAATTGAAATCAAATTATTAGTAATAAAACATATGACAAGCGACCTGATGGTCTGAATAGCTCTGCTGTCCTACAAGAACATTGTGGTGGCAAGTCAACTAATGCACACCCTTAAGACAAAACGCAGTTATCCCACAAAAAAGTTTGTGGTTTTGTTAAGAACATGCCAACCTAACTTCATCGAACAAATTGTTTACAAAAATTATGTACAACATAAATACATCAAAGCAATCAGGCAGTTAGTTACCAAAATTGACAAAAATATTTGGTAAAAATAGAAAATTATATTATTGTTACAAAATTGAAATATTTAATATTAGCCATGGATATTAGTATTTACACAATGCTCTTGCCATATCACAATTACGGTAGCTCTGGACATGAGGTCAACCCATGGACTCTACATATCCAAATAAATATACATATACTGATGCAATCACCATCATCTATGCATACATATTAACCATATACAATTATGATAGTGTTCATTTGAATATTAATGCAATTAACCGGTCCACAAAAAATATTTATGACAACAACACCAACATTGTCAAAGACACCAGACATTTTGCCACTACTAGTTTGCCTTCACTTCATTATATGGGAGAGCAGTTTTAAAAAAAAACTGAAAAATTAAGGATGTGCCTCAGTATTCTAACAAGTTTTAAAAGAATAAGCAATCACAACTTGGAGATAATGCTCTACATGTATAAAGTGTAGGTCGATTGGCCATTCAGAATATGATGAACAACATGTTCAGGGGAAAAAAAAACTGCAGCCAGTTTATTTGTGTTGAATGAGATCAAGCTCAAGGCATGTCACAGATACAACCCTTTATCAGCATCAGTTAAAACAAAATGGCCACCAATCAGCAATTTGCAAATCTGGTGCGGTTCATCATGCCCATGCATAAATTCTTAATTTTAACTACATGTAAAATGGCCACTACTTGACCACCTTGAATTGAAACACAAAAACAAGTGCATGTGCTTACAAAAAATGTATGTGTGATAGGATGTGTGATGTATGCGTAAGGAATGAATTTGATCAGTCAAGGCATGCAAAGTCCATGATTTCAGACTGTGTTTGAACACAAATGTCCAATTTTTTTTTTATTGAGCCCCAAAAAGTAAATTATTATGGAGCCCATGGAGTAAATTATTAAGGTACAAGAAAACAATGCAAATTTAAACGCTGTGAAGGTAGAAAAAACTGAAGAGCACCATCAAAGGAAGAGGAAGTGGTTAGAAAGATCATTGCCTAGCAGTGAGACACAAATGGTTTGAAATGATAACAACAATTATTAGACATGCTAACCTGGTAAGATCATGACATCATCACCATCAGCAGGTAATACACCATTACTTCCACCCCAACCATCTTCCACACCAGCCCAGGAAGCAACGTCAGACCACAGGATTGCATTGGTAGGACGTGCTTCAGGTGGTGGCTGGGGTACTGGTGTAATACAGTCTGGGTACAGACAACGGTACACATTGAAGGTAACATCACGGTTAACTTCTTCAGACCCTCCTTTACCAGATACTGAAAAAAAAACATAGCATAACTATTACAACTTACATTGTTTATTGTAAAACCTACTGTAACAGTAGATTAAATAACAAATGTATGAATGGATAACAAACAAACAATGCAATATTTTATCTTTGCATGGCAAAAATGGGTATAAAAGTCAATTTGAAAGCATTTTGCGTGGCAAATACAGGCTAAAAATTAGATGGGATCAATTCTGACCAAAAATTGTACTGTATTAAGGTAGAGATGCAGGTTCGTGGGCACTTGGGAGTGAAATTTTTTTTTTTTAGCTTTTTATTATCCAAACAGTCATGGCTACAGATTGTTAAAATTTTGTAGAATTTTGAATTGTGGAACATACTCAAAAGACGATTTTAAAATATAGATAACAGGGTAAACATCCTCTCTTTTGAATGCTTAGCAAGATTTAGCAAGGCTGTACATAAATAATAAAAAAAAAACATGGTGAAAAAAAGTAATGACGGGATCTCCATATTATGCACTATATTTAACTTTTTACAAAACGATAATACATTTAAATTTGGAACTGTTACAGCCATTTTAATTATGAGCATTAGCAAACTTCTTACTGAGTGAATTGTTATGCAAATTAGCAATTATCTCAGCTTCTTTTTAGTGCACATTCCAGAACTTTAAAAAAAATAGCTCCTAGACGCTTTGACCTTTTATTTTGATATTTTCACAAATTATGGACAATGTGTTTATCTTCAAAACGCCGTTGGGGCTTTGTTTTTGCTTGAATAGTGTTACAACAATCGTACAGACAACTAGCCTGGGTGTTAATTTATGCATAAACTTGAATTAGTAAAATTTGAGCTGCTGCCCAGCAAAATTGACAACTGGTAGACAGTTTTCAAGACAGCACTTTCCTCATAACAAACATATGTACCGGTACCCGTAAACCAATTTTGACAGGAAACAGAAGTATGGTTTAGAAGCTATTTTTTTTAAATCACTTTTGACAAAAAAAGCACATTTTTGTGCATATTTCAAACTAAAGTGTCCATAAAAAAAAAATACTTAAAAAAATTTCAAATTCATACAATAAGCTTTCCGAAAATATATAGTTTTGTGGACAAGGAAGGTCATCTTAGTTTCCTAATTAACTAATTAAAATACCTGTCAGGTAAACTGAATCTCTACCTTAATCTTAATGTTCCTCATAGAATAATATAACTTGACTTGTATACAAGGTCCTAAAAGTAAATAAGGTTCCTTATGTGTTCCTCAATTACTACATATATTGTATGAATTTCAACATCCCTTATAAAATAATATACATGTAGCAAGAAATGTAAAATAAAACATTCACAAATAATAGTGCAGTAATATATATTATAGCACAATAAAATACTAGCCAGATTTGAAAAAGGGTGCGAATTTTATAGTGATTAAATAAGATTCCCAAATTTGAAGATGTCCAAATACAAATTATTTATTTTAACCACAAGAAGATAATTTTAAATTAAATTCATTGAATATCTTCAAAAATATACATAGAACAAAGATCCCAATCTGGTTAATATACCGGTAATATCCAACTTTGAAAAAAAATTAATAAACCTGTTTGAATTATTGTAAACACAAGAAAAAGTTTTTACATCAGAGCAATCAACAACGGTGGTTGTGACAACAACAACAACAACAAC